TGCGCCCTACGCACCTCCTCCCCCACCCAGCGACCTGGAGACTCCTCCCCAAACTCAGAGCCTCTCGTTTGCCCAGTCCTGGCCCGTCTCTCTCCAGGCTTTTGGGATAGTGCCCCCACCTCTCCCTGCCTTTCCGCTCCCAGCTGGCAGCCAGGTTGTGTCCTGGGTCCTGTGGCGAGTCTGGCCCAGTCCCACCCTTCCGGGTCTACCTGTTGCCTCTGGGTCTGAGCCTCTTCTCTGACCCTGCTCTGCCCCTCCTGGCCCTGGGTGGGTGAGCCAAGCACTGAAGGTGGCCTGAGGAACAGGGCAGGAGACAGAAGGGTGAGCTGGGGCGGGGTGGACTAGGTCAGCCTGGGGCGCACACCTGTGTCTTCTGCTTTCCAGAGCTCTACCTGGATGACAGCAAACAGTTCTATAAGGAACTGGGCTTCAGGCGATGAGTGTGGGGGGACACCTGAGGGGATGTGGGGCAGAGGTGCCCGGGTGTCCACTGCTCCCTTCTTCTCCCTCCCTGCTGTCCTTAGGCCTTGCTGGGGAAGTCGCCCTGGGGCATCCACCGTTCCAGCCAGCCCTTCTGCCTGGTTTTCTTGTGGTGTCAAGGGTCTCTAATGAGGCTTCTCACCCTGAGTCTGCATGGCAGACTGTAGTGCCCAGACCACCAGAGGGGGCTTGGAGCTCCAGGCCCAGTCGGGCCGCCTCTGGTGACTCTGCCTCCCCTCATTGGCAGCACGGGCTGAGCTAGATCCCAGGCAAGTCCAGCCTTCCGGGCTCCCTGTGGGGCCCTATGCCGCCCAGGCCCTAGGCCTGGTGTTCAGCCTCCTGCTGCTCTGGCTGCCTGGGCCAGCTCTGAGTGCCTGATGGGATGGGTGGGGCAACTTCAGGCTTCCTCAGAGTCTGGCCCAGCGAGCTGGTGTCTTCACAGGTACAACAGCCTGAGTATCCTGCCAGTTGCCCTGGGGAAGCCTGTGTGTGATGTGGCCACCAAGGTTTGTGATGGCCAGGGTCGCACAGGACTAGGGGTGGTGGGAACCCCTGGGGCCTTCCCTCTGGGACTGACTGGCCAGGCTGATGGCATCTGGGGAAACCTTTCTGGGAGCCTGCTGTAGAGTGGAGGGCCATTGGTGGTCAGCAGAGGTGGGCTGGAGGAAAGGCCTTGCCACGCTGGTGACTGTACCTGCCCTCTCTGGCTTGTCCTCCCTGTCATGGCTTCTCCTCTGCAGCGTGGCCCCTCTGTCCTCCTGGCATGTGGCTGCAGGGTACAGGTGGCCCCCCGCCATCCTGGCTGTCTGCCCACTGCTTCAGGTGGTGATAAGGTGCTGCTGCACTTCGTCCAGAAGTCCCCGGGTGACTGCGTTCCTCAGGAATGTGTCCTGCAGGCCCTGGACATCTCCATGGAGGTCTGTGCCAGTGAGCCGCCTTGGGTGAGCCCAGGCCTGGGTGGGCACTGCCTGCCCCCCCCGGGGGGGCTCCCCTAAGATGAGCGCTTGGCACAACCTTGGAGCTGAGGTGCAGCCTCTGTGGCTTGATGTCATTCTGTGCTCACAGTGGCCCCAGGATGGAGATGTCACTGTGACCTGACCTTGCAGCAGGGGGAGCAGGCTGAGAGGGGTCCTGGTAGGGCAGTAGATGGACAGGCATGGCAGGGCCCTCCCCAGAGGTGGTGGCCACTCAGGGGCTGCAGGAGGGAGAGAGGCCTGTCCCCCGGTCTCAGGAGGGTTGGGTGTGTCTGAGGAGGCCCTCCCAGGCATCAGTGTGGTCCTGGGGGCCGACCTCCTGCACCCTGACTGTAGGGAGCAACCAATGGGTCAGGCCCCTGTAGCATCCAGCCCGCCTCCTGCTCCATTTAGGGGGGGCAGCTGCTCCCAGCCGCCTGAAAGGACCCTGTTGCCTCCGCAGTGTGACGAGGAGGCGTGTGGGAGGTGAAGGCTGGGCCTGGGACCAGGGAGGTGCCTGCTGCCCTGGATGTGTCTAGAGTTGGATTGGAAGACTCACACCAGGGCTGGGCCAGGGTGGCGATGAGACATTAAAACTATGTTGTGCGTTTCCTCACTGGCTTCGAGCCCTGTGTCCTCTGTAGCCCCCACCTCCTCACTGCTGGCTCCCTCTGGGTGGCAGGGACAGTTGTGGGTCCCGAGGTGTCATCTTCCCACTATGAAGGTCACTGTCAGGGGATGGGGGTGGTGGGGGTTGGGAGGGGGAGTGGACTTGCCCCTGCAGTCTCTCTGGAGACCTGGGGCCTTTGGCCCATGGGGCACTGGGGACTGTCATTCCCTTCCAAGGGGAATGCCCTAGGCCAAGTCAGGAGGAGGTCAGGCCGGGTTCTGCCCCCACGCTCCAGATGAGAGCCCAGTGTGGGGGTGCTGGGGTCTGTGCTCCGTCTGGTGGGAGTCACTCAGGGAGGAGGTGGTTTGATCCTGCCAGGTGGGGTCTGATGGACCATCTGAGATACCCAGGAAATTAGCGGGTCTGCTGCAGGGCTTTGTCTTGGTTCAGGTGGGGCTGACTGCCCAGTTCCCGGCCACCTTTCTCAGGGTCCTAGCAGGCCCAGGTCATACTTCTCTCTTAGGGCCCTCCCCTCCAAGGGGCTCTGATGACCCCTCAGCACCTCTCTGCATTCCCTGGTGTGGCCGGGGAAGCCAGCGGTGCCCCTTCCTCCATGACGGCCTCCTAGCTCCCCGTCCTGTTTCCTGGAAGTGGTCATTTAAAATCACAGAGCGGTGGTGGCATCCCTTTGTGTAGAGCCCTCCTCTGGCTTCCAGTACACAAAACTAACATCCCAGGTTCCCGGAGCGGCTCCCGGTCCCTTGACCCCTCCCCCACTGAACCTGTAGTCCCTGAGCACAGGCATTTGGGGGCATCCTGGTCACCGCTGGATCTCAGCATGAGACTTGCCAGAACCCCCTCCCTCTCCATCAGCTCTCAGCTGTGACTGTCACTCCCTACCAGGCAGCTGTCTTGCCCAGGGAACACCGTCTGCCCCCCTCCCCCAAGCATGGCCACAGACTTCTTTGAAGTGTTTACTCAGCTCAAGTCTGAAGTTCTGGAAGTTTGGTGACAGGGTGCTTTGGAGAAGGGGTGGAGACAGTTGGCCACGTCTACGGGGCTGGGATGGGGGCGCTGACCCCCACTGCAGGGGCGCTGGGCCAGGGGCCGTGCCTGAGCCCCAGTGGACACTGCTCACTCCCGGGCATCGGGGCCAACTGTGCTCCAGCCGCTGGCAGTGGCGTGGTCATGGGGTGCAGGGCGGCGGGTTCCCACCGGCTGCACTGTCTCCGTGGGCATCTCAGGGGGTGGGTGCCTGTGGGCCACGCAGCGCGGCTCAGCCTTGACTACCAAACGCGACATCGCTCCTTGGGGTGCATGGGGGTGCCCCTGGCGCAGTGGAACGCGTCGGCGAAGGCGACCAGGTTCTGCAGTGAGCCCAGAACCCTGTGGTGGCGGGGGGGGGG